TGAATTGAAAAAGTCTCCAATATATGCCCATAAGTTGATAAATTCAATTTTAAGTGTTTTATTTATGGTAAGGAATCTCACATCGAAAGTTTACAAGAAAAAACATGTTTATATAGTTGGATGTGTTTACAAGTTATAATTTAATAAGTGGTCTACAAGTTATTATTTCAAAATTTTTTAATTGTTCTAATGTTAAAAAAATTAAATAAATAAACTTTCAATCAAGTCTCTTTTTCAATAAATTTGAGGTTGACTAATGAATCAATAAAAAATATAGTTTTTAATTTTTTTTCTTCCAAAATTTTTTTTTTGTTGAAAATAAATAAAATATAAAAGTGTTGTAATTATTGAAGTCCATATTATCTGAACTAACTACATAGTGCATTAATGAGAAATACCATTATTTTAATCTCAATTATTATATATATAAAAAGAGAGAGAGAGAGAGAGATCATTTTGGGTGACAAGCATTTGAAATATAAAGGCCCGTTTGATTAGTGTTTCTATTTCAATTTACTATTTTGAAGGTCCATTTTAAAATTGCTTAAAACAAATTTGATTTATCATTTTGAAAAATTATTTCTCAAAACAAAAAATTAAAAAATACATTTAGACCTTGTTTGATCCCAATTTTTTTGAAATATATTTTTTTCTCTACTCTTTTCAACAAAACATTATTCAATAAAATAATATTACACAAAATCGAATTTTTTTTCCTTCATTTACAATCACATGTTCTCCATCAATTAACTATTTTAAAATGCACTCTACACAAATAATGGGGCTCAAATAGGTCATTAGTTTGGAATTTTGAAAAACCATACGCCGTACTTTCTTGCAGATTTTCAATGTAAACAACAAAAATCTTAATAAAAGCAAAAAAGAAAAAGAAAAATTGTTAGACATTCACAAATAATATATTGTATATAAAGAAGAATTATTGGAATCAAAATATTACATTTCATTTTATTCAACATTTTTACATTATAAATATAATTTCATAAAAAAAAATTTATTCGTATATGTAATTTTTAATAATTTTAATTTTTTTTTT